CAATTGAACTTCAAGAATGATTTAAAATATTTTCGTAACAAGATTGCCAGATTACAAAATATGAAAACAGAAGCATAAATAAAGTGATATCTTATGGCACGTTCTTACTGCAATACTGAAGCGCGACTAATTTGTTAGTTACCCAGGGTGGGCCCGAAAATGGATGCGCGCAGGGTAATAATATTATACAGGATAATTTAAAGTTTGTAATTAATAAGTTTGATAATTAAAATAATTATTTAAAAAAATGAATAAAAACAGGATTTACTCGTTTTGAATTGATTTTTAGCAGGAGCCAAATTATTATTGCTGCTGAAATCCAAAAATTAGGCTCAAAGAGCAATGTCCTAAACACACGAAATCAGATGACCAAACTAAAAACGGAAACAAAAAGAAAATGAAAGTAAGCTAATAGTAGATAATATTAAGCGCTAAAGCTGCTTTAAATATGATCACTATAACATAGCACAATAAAAACAAAACCGAACTAAAAACAGAAACAAAGAGAAAACGAAAGTAAGTTAATAGTAGATAATATCAAGCGCTAAAGCTGCTTTAAATATGATCACTATAACATGTCACAATAAAAATAAAGAGAAAAACGAAGAAAATTGATAAATTAATAAGTTTTTATATATATATACATATAAAATTAATAACGTTATTACTTAGATGCTTCTTCCAGATTTTGTATGTCTTCCAGAAACTCGAGAAGATCTGGCCTTTTCTTAAATACTTGCTAAAATAAAGATATGTTTTCTTATTTTCTTAAAATTTTGCTTACATAATTATTTTACACATAGTATTAAAAAAGAAATAAATAAAAAGAGTAAAAGTTTTTACCTCAGCTACATAGTGGATTAGTGTCATGCTAGGTTTGTTGGCTCTTATGTCTGTAAGTTTCAACAAGGATAACATTTTGAAACCAGCTGCATTTCCTGCATAACCACCCTGGAAGGATTGAAAAAACATCCAGTTTCGAAGAAAAGAACAATCTAATATTTAAATGATTTCTTTCTGAAAATTCTTACCGCATTCAAAAAATTGCCAGCTACAAGAACCATATATAAGATTTCGTGCAACTTTTTGCATTCTTCAAGTTCTAGTTAAATAGAGAAACATATATTGATCAATTAACTGCAGTATTTTGATCTGAGTATTTTAATTACTAAGTTGAAATACCAACTGTTGATTTAAGTCAGCTTGAGGTTTTATTTAATTTTTAGAAACTTTGTTAAAAGCTTTAAAATTTTTAAAAGGAAAAAAGTATTAAGTTTTTTTCATAGTTAAACGGAGAATACGAAAAGAATGGCTTGAGAAATCCACATCGGTTCAAAATTCTAAAAATAAAAGTATGAAATTTTTTCAAAAGGTGCAGTCAAGGATACCAAATTCATCCTCCAAACAATTTTGTAATTTAAATTTTTTCTTCTGTATTTCATTATAAATATTTAATAGATATAAATGTGCGAATAAATACTTAAATAACTATTAATTTAACGCATGGCAATTAGCGAAACTTTTCTAATTTTACAATGGATATTTCTGGGAATTTGGCTTTGTCTGGAGAGAGATATTCTTTTTTGCCATAAAAGTGTCTATAAATAACCGTGGTGGTCTGATATTATATTAATTAGGGATTACTTATTTAATGTTTTATTAGGCTCTTGGTTAAGAATCCTATTCTAGAATTTGCTAATTTGTTGACATTTTATTTTTTTGGATAACACGACGGTGCTTTTGACTTTTTAAAATGTGAAGGATCCCTAAAAATTTACACCGACCACACTCACGTGTACATTATATATAATAATGAATGAACATCATGAAGAAAGTTGTTGCTATAATCTTGAAAAGAGGGTAAAATTTTAGTTTCACATTCCTTTCTCTCGTTTATGAAGCCTTTCATAGTAAGAGTGAGTTATTTATAATAACAGAGGGTATTTTAAAATCCTTTTTGTTTTTATTGATTTTATTAAAAATTTTAAGTTGAAAATTCTTTTTTTTTTTTTTAAAGAGATAAATAAAAGATGTTTCTTTTATTTACTCTTGAGACAAAAATACAAGTTATTTTTATATTATTTTATATTATAAAAAGGTAATTTACTTTACAAGATTGTATCAGAATCTTGCTCACATTTTTACAAGGATTCAAACAAGTAGAAAACAGAAAAAATTGTTGAAAATGTTTTGAATTCTAAAATATTTCAAAACTAAAGTAAATATGATTTTTGCACTCCCCAATTTAAAATAGGTACAAATATTAAATAAGATTTAATCTTATACAAAACAAAACTTGAAATTAAAAACTAAAGAAATATTTTTTTTTTACAATTCTATTGTGCGGTACACCGTATTGTCACAATGCTATTTCCCCTAAGCTCCTGATGTAATGTAAAACTGATAAATATTCACTCCAGAATTTAATATAGGTACAAAAATTAAATAAGATTTAATTTATACTGTGGTGCCATGCGACTCAAAGAATTCTAATCAACGGTGTGAGTTAAGAATTTTAATGGGACAAAGGACATGAAATGGTAAGTTACAAGTCACAAAACATCACAAAGTAGAGCATTAAAACAATTAGGGGGAAAACAAAACTTAAGTGCGGGGATTTCGAAACCAACATGTTTGCGGTTCGAGATATGGAGGTAAACTAAACTTAGAACTGTTCTATTTGAGTCACTTTAGTGTTCATAGATGGCGTTGGCAGGGGGTTTCGATTGTCACAATACAAAATAAAATTTAACATTAAAAACTAAAGAAAATTGTCGTTAACTACTACATTGTGCGCATGCGCACACCGTATTGTAACAATGCTATTCTACAACTTCTGATTTAATATAGAACTCCTGATAAATATTCACTTCCGAATTTAATATAGAAACAAAGATTAAATAAGATAAGATGAGATTAAATAAGATTTAATACAAAAATTAAAATTTAACATTTAAAACTAAAGAAAGAAATTGTTTCACACTACTACCTTGTGCGGCACACCGTATTGCCATAATGCTATTTTCCAAGAGCTCCTGGTGTAATATGGAACTCCTGATTCATATTCTCTCCCCAATTGAATATGGGTACAAAGATTAGATAAGATTTAATCTTATACGCAATAAAATTTAACACTAAATATTGAAGAAAATAAAAAGTTTTTTTTAGAGTAATACCTTGTGCAGCACACCGTATTGTCTCAATGCTATTTTCCAAGAACTCCTGATTAGCCATGAATTCTTCTTTCAGCAGCATGCTTTCAATGCGCAGTTTGTAACTGTGATGAGAATGCATATGTTATTTTGAGAAAAGGGTTATTTAAATCATTTTCAGTTTTGGGTTTATAATATAATAAAATAAGTTCATTTACTTAGGAACGTTTAAGAGTTGCAGTAGAAATTTTTCTGCATTCCCCAGCTTATTCTTATCACCATCATAGTTTCTTAACATTTCAGCCTGCAGCAAAACACAAGCATGAAATAATTGAAATCACAACTTAATGAAAAATATAATAATGATGGATAAAGAAAATAAAAAGAATGGAGAAGCAAAACAGTATATTTTAATAACAAGAAGAATATTTAAAATATGAATTACTCTAAATAACTTTTTTTTATCTAACTTTCATGTACAGTGCACAAAATAAAAAACTGACCACCCTGAATAACTTTTGATCTAACGATTGTATCTTTACGTTCTAGGGCTCAATTTTAATGATTCAAAGGTTCTTGACCTCAAATATGCCAATTAAATAGTGCAAACGACATTTTTAAGTTACGAAATTTAACATATTTTCTTTGAACAAATATACCTTTTTTCTCCGACGGATTTAGATTTCTGACCCCCAAAATATAGCCGCAATCTGGTAAATATGGTCCCTGTAGTTTAGTCAGGAGAACTGTTCGAAATTTTGACCTTTTAATGATAATTTTCCTTTTTGCGTATTTCGCTACATCACGAGAATTTTCCAAGCGAATTGAAATATTTTTGAAAAGCATTTATAAAATTCGTCTATCTAGAGATAATTCCGCGCGAAAACCATCTTATCGCATTATTTACTTTTTAATATTTTATTTAATAATAGAAAAAACTTTTAAATTGTAAGGTCTCCATTCTTTTACATCATTTTAAAAAATGCAATTTTAAATAGCAAAATTTGAGTAAAATTGGTCGACTAGTTCATGAGAATACGACTTTTTTAAGCTCCATTTCTCAGGAAATATATTTTCCAGATTGCTGCTATATATTGAGGGTGAAAACTCCACATCCGTCGAAGAAAAGGTATGTTTATTCAAAGAAAGTACTTTTATGTGCCTGATTTCGTAACTTGTAGCATGCACTACTTAATTAGCCTATTTGAGGTCATCTTCTCAAACCATTAAGATTGAATCCTTGAACGTAAAGATCCAATCATAAGCTCAAAAGTTATTTGCTTGTTTGAGCTCTGCTCAAACACTAACTAATATTTCACGAGCATGCGCTCAGTTTCAAAAAAGTTCAACCTCTCACGATTTTAATTTTTTAAAAGGTGAGCTTTATTTTTCGTTTTTCTACGAATTCCCAAAAAAATATTTTTCTTCCTTTCCTTTATTTTCCTTTAAAAAAAAATTTTTTTTTTGAACTTTTTCATACGGAAAAATCTTTTAGTTTTCTACATTTAGATTTTTTTTTTCTCCTGGTGTAAATTTATAAGGATACGATAATTTCAAAGTTTGAACATGGAAGTTATTTTTACAAAGTGCTTCGATGAAAGATTGAACCTATATACAATTAATAACAAAGAATATAACATGAACCAGCAATATATTGTAATGAAAACCACATTCCCATCAGTACAAATTTCACAGGAAAAGGTTATTGTTTAAATATAAGATATGTTATTTTACAATGTAACGATGTCAGAAATCAGATGTCTAAAGGTATAAATAAGTTAAACATTGTACTTTAAATAATAAAAACTTCCAAGTTAATATCTGTATCATCGTTTTCAACTTAGTCTTCACTCGATTCAGCCTAAAATTATTCATGGCAGCAATGCCTCGTTAATCTAACTATAGTCGCAATATTTAAGTTTTCCCTCCTTCCTATTTACTCCCTCCAGCCAAAACCCCCCCACGCGNAAAAATAAAAACTTCTGTCTTTACCGTACTATTAATAAAATTTTCGTGGTACTCAATCCATAGTGCGAACAGAAAGAACGTACGCAAGCTAAATTTATAAACAAAGCATTGTTAAAAAAAACTCTTGTTAGGTCGTATGAAGTGACTTTCTTTCCTTTCTTTCCTTCCAGACGCGAATATGTACCTAGGTTAGTAAAACCCTTACCCGTATAATCCGCGTCTGGCTACTATTCCAGCCAACCTCGACCCCGTGCTTGATTAGTGGTAATTATTTAAAATTTCAAAAAAAAGGGGGTCGTATGACGTGACTATAAGATAACAAATATTTCTTAATTATAAAATTAGGAGCAAAAACAGGTTTCCTACGAATAGTTAGGTAGGCACTTTATTAACGTCGCACTAGAGCTGCACAATGGGCTATTGACGACGGTCTGGGAAACATCCCTGAAGATGATCCGGAGATATGCCATCGCAATTTTGATCCTCTGCAGGGGGGTTGGCTCCCCTGCTTTGTTAACCAGACGATCTAGGTGCGAAGTCGAGCATTTTACGGTAGAACAGTTTAACGATGACCTCTGCCGCTCACCCTTGGTCCCTACGCAGACCGATCAATGGGGTCACAGACCCGCTAACTGACCGCAGCCACTAATGAAATAACTCAGTAAGGGGAGACTCAAAAAACAACTGTTATTATTACACTAAAAGGCTCCGATCTCCAACCCTCATTCATTTTTTCCCTTAAAATTCGCTTAAAAAAAATTTTGTTAATAAAATATATAGTTATGATAATTTTGTTACATTTCAATATTACATTTTATAATTATTTTTAATATAATGAATGATTACTTGGATTCGAAAAGTAATCAACTGTACTTGAAAAATATATTTACACATAGGAAAATAGAATGCGTGGCACAATAAAAGAGAATAAACAACGTGAAGCAGTTTTTATTCGTTTACAATCTAAAACTGTAAATTTTTTATTGTTTCAACGGTAATTTTTTACGGTAACGGTATTATTTAAATTTTAAATTTGTATTTGTTCAAATTACAAACGGTTTTTGTCACTAATGAGATTTTTACATTTTTTAAAATTTCGATATAAATATTAAAATTCACATCTGGCAAAATCTTGTCGCTTTCTGGTATTTATTTTATTTACAATTTTTTTGTTACTTTTGATATCAAGTCAGGCGTGAGGTAATTAAATAATGATCTTGAGAGGGATAAATTTTTGACATCACTGAATAAAAATCACTATTTAAAGTGGGAAAAAATTGGAAAAATTAACGAAAAACAGCATAAATATTAAAAAAAAAAATGAAATTTTCAAAAAAGCTCATGTCAAGTTCATGCCCTTTTCAACACGGTAAGTTTCAAGTCTGCTGTTTCTTTCTAGTAGCCCTTAGAGCAACCCGAATGCTGTTTTTTCTTTAACAAACAAGTTCAGCAGACAATAATTCTCAGAATAATTATCGAATGTTAATTTATATTTCCATTGTATTCCGCGTGCATATTTCTACAAACCTTCTTAATTTCAAGTTTCTAAGTCTCATAGTTTATTGGTAGTAAAACAAAATGTAGCGAATGTAAAAACCCAAAACAGTGATATCCCTTACAATTTTTTAATATAGAGATGTTTAAAAGACCAAAAGATATTTAAAGAGATATTGTTCCAAATTGAACAATTTATAAGCATTTTACAATAATTAATTTTTTAGAATTGAGTAAAAGTAAATTTTAAGGGAATTAATTTTGGAGGTATAGACTAAAAAGCAAAAGCTACGAATTTAGCAAAAGTTGATTAAAAAAATTATCGAGGTCATGTTCAGAATATGAAAATTTTTACATCGAATTTAGTAACTTAATATTTATTAAAGAATTAGCAAAAATCAGGTGCTTTTCTGAACCGAAGAAATTACGAATTAATACACAAAAATTTGATCATTAGATTAAAAGTTAATTAGGGTGATAAGATTTTTTAGTTTGTTTATTGAAAAGACAATTCGGTTCAGATAAATGCTATTGATTGGATCTTTAAATAGAGAGTTCTGATATTGAACAAATTATCAATTTTAAGATAAATTTATATTAATTGAAAGATAAATTTATTGAAAACATATTAATCAGAAGAAATTAATAAATCAAGTGAAATATTCCTTCAAAACAAAAACAGCATTCAATTTCCTAAAAGAAAAAAAAGTCTCTTTCAGTTTAGTTCTTTAGTTGCTTTCTTTCAGACACATATGTTGCTTTCTTGAGTTTGTCAAAACAGACTTATCTTTCTTGTTTTTCGGTTAGAACTGAAAGACCGATCAAAGCTTGTCATTGTTTTCAGAAATTCAGATGGTTTGGTCGAACTATCTCTCAAACATAGAGCATTATTTGAGATAAACTTGGGAAAGACTACATCAAAGGTCTGATTGCCGCAGATGAAAAAGNTATTATATATATATATATATATATATATATATATATATATAAAAAAATATTGCACTATATAAAATAAAATTAAATGATATTTTTAGACATTAAATATCCAAGAAATTTTAGATAACTTTATAACTAATTTATAGTCAATTATTCATAAACCCCATTCTGAATTGATTTAACTTGATTTGCCATTTTCTCAAAAGCTTTGTAGAAAAATACCTAAATAGAAAATTTTGATTTTTGTTTCGTGAAAAGTTACGTAGAATTCGCAGATTTTGAATATTAAGTTTTTTAAATATAAAGAACAAAAACATAAAAAAACAGTTTTTCATTGACAAATGAATATCTTCCATAAAACGTTTTAATGAGCCTAAAATAAAAATAAAAATTTTTTTGAACAAGCAATTGATAAATATTGTAGTTCTATAGTTGTAAATACCGAATCTTATTACAGTTGATGAAAAACTTTTAAACATCGATTTTGATAAAATATACGGTACAAAATTGGAATATTATGGGTAAATTGGATTTACATCAAGCAGAGAGAGACTAATCATTTTCAGAAATGCGGAATTAACTCATCTAAAAATATTTATGGGGGAAAAAGCAAAATAAAAGATAAAATTAGAAAATGTATAAACATAAGGTTGAGTCTTAAGTTTCTTTGAAACGCAATGCCATTTAATATAAATCTGATAAGTTCTGTTGCTCTCAATATCTTAATTGAAAAGTTATCTTTGAGTCATTATATTTTAATTATTATCTCTCTTTATAAAAAAAATCGTAAAGGCCACCGACGCTGTTTTGTGTGTTAAACTTAACGTTACACTTTGTTTTGCTGTGTAAAGACTATAGAACTTAAAGAACTGAAATTACGAAAATGCTTAGAAAACTGTACATGGAATTAAAAAAAAAAAATAAATAACATACGATAATAAGATCGATAATTGGGTACTTGCACTTCAAGAAGAAGACGATCACACATGTGAATTATGACGTCAGCACGAGCTGATTGTTTATAAGCAAAATGGCGTGTTAAAGCTGAGCTAAGTTTCTGAACATAAGTTAGGATGTTAATTAACGCGAAGTTAATTAAATACAGCGGAGCATCGCACATCGAATTTGCTGAAACATAATTATTTCTCGTCTATGTCTCTTACTTAACTTACATTTATTATTTACGAATTTTATTGTAACCGTGTTATATTTTTGTATTGTGTAACTGGCAACATCGATGCGTAATTATTTTGTTTATGTTCTACATGGCTTCGGGCCTGTCTTTGCTAAGTAAGAAATATATAGTAAAAGAATTAAAATCTTTGTGAAAGAATATAGAATGTATCACTTAAGAGAATTGATACTCGACGAGCTTGGCTTACTCGGAAATAGAATGAAAAGAACAGTTGTTAGGATAAACAGACGCCACGTTTCACCAACCAATCAGGGTCGAGATACCCACACTACGTCACTTGCAGGTATCCTATTATTAACTGTTTAACTTAACGTAAAAAATAAACGGGGAGAAAAATAAAAACTACGGAGTTGAAACTTGGCATGCCGAAATCGTCATTTTTGTTTATGAACTTAAAACACAGTATTTTTTTTAATTTCCTATTTTCTCGAAAATTATTGAAACTTAAAGTACTTTTTTCGTGAATTCTTCTCTCTTTTTTTTTTTCTTTACGCTACAGTTTGCTTTGTTGTACTAAATCTATAAGACTCAGAAGTTTGAAATAATTCCGTAGGTATATAGAAAACTGCATAAGGAGTTTGACGGAATAAAAATAAATAAATAAATACTCACATCTGTAGTCGGCCGAAATGCAGTTACGGAAATAAAATTTCTATATTCTTACGTTTATATATTTCCCCCCCAGTAATAAACTATTATTAATATCAGTTAATTGTTCGTTTCATTACAGTTTACATATTAACAGAATTGACTTACATGAAATTATAATAATTATATATTTTTTTTAAAACAAAATTATATATTTTTTTGAAATATCGACTTTTAAAAATTAAGAAAGGGGAATGAGAAGCAACCATGGGGGTTGGTGATGAGTGGGAGCAAGCAGAGGGATGACATGGATGGGAGCGAGCAATGGGAGCAGTGAGCGACTCCTAGAATATTTAATAATCAATATGCTTTAATGTTTGAAAAAAATTATCAGTAGTTATCTCGCGTTCGCTAATAAATACTAAGCTCATTAAATGGATATATGGTGTTCCATAATCTCTGCTTAATATTCATTTTTAGAATGCTTGTAAATTCTGAAGTCACAAAAGCTATCAAATTACTCGAAGCATAAAATCGCTNCTACGTAGTGGATTAGTGTCATGCTAGGTTTGTTGGCTCTTATGTCTGTAAGTTTCAACAAGGATAACATTTTGAAACCAGCTGCATTTCCTGCATAACCACCCGCATTCAAAAAATTGCCAGCTACAAGAACCATATATAAGATTTCGTGCAACTTTTTGCATTCTTCAAGTTCTTGTGCAGCACACCGTATTGTCTCAATGCTATTTTCCAAGAACTCCTGATTAGCCATGAATTCTTCTTTCAGCAGCATGCTTTCAATGCGCAGTTTGTAATTAGGAACGTTTAAGAGTTGCAGTAGAAATTTTTCTGCATTTCCCAGCTTATTCTTATCACCATCATAGTTTCTTAACATTTCGGCCTCATCTGACTCAGGTAGAATTTTCAATAATCCTCTGAGCCTCTCAGCTCCCAGATCTTCATGGCTACCTTCTTCCAATATTCTTACAATTTCTTGATGAGAACTGAAAAATCAAGGTGATAAATTTTTTTAAATATGAGATATTTAACAAAGTTAGTAAAAATATAACTGAGTACAATTATAATAGCGTTTAAAAGCAATCATAATATATAATTACTATTTTAATCTGAATTAGGATGATTATTATGATTATAAATAATCATGGTCCCGTCGAATCACGACAATTGTAATCCGATCCTTGATGACAATTGTAATCCGATTAAGTGTAATCTTGATTACAAGTAATTGATTAGGGGAGAGTGGGGTCAATTGTAACAGGGTACGATTGTAACAGAGCAAAAATTTCGAGTGTCGGGTTCTAGATTTGGTTCCTAGGTGGCGCACGAGGTGCATTTAATAAATCTACATGAACAGCCCTGCTGGCAACCATTTTTATGTACTTTTGAAACAGTTACATCACAAAAGATATTTTCACGTTACGTAAGTACTTTTTTTGGTATTAGAACATTATATTGTAACAAAGTAATTTTGTTTAAACAAATAAAAATTATTAACCAAATATGTAAATGGACACCTTAATTAACATTTCAAAAAAAAATTAGTTTTGTTAATTAACTAGCATTGTTTTTAACAAATGAAGCTGAAATGGCGTCTTGGGGACGATTGTAACAGCTGAAAATAAATAATCTTATGTTTACAAGCCATTGCTTAACTCTTTAAGAACCACCAATAGTTTCCTATATCATTTATATTATGTTGCATATGCATTATTTTATTTGTTACCTTTCACAGCATAAATTAAAATTTTTAACCCCTTAAAGTTAAAAGTTTAACCCTTTAGGTCTCTGCTCATTATTATTTTTACTCCAAAAATATCACTTCTATTTTGATCTATAAAAAATATATCACAACTATGATAATATGTATAATTAACTATGTTTTAGTTGAATTTATGAACTATTACAATTGATCCCGTAAGTGGGGACAATTGTAACAAGTGCACGACTGTCCAAAATAGTTAATAACTAATATAATAACATTTAAAATAAGGTATTTTTTTTCTAGTAGAGGATAGTCTACGTTACTCGTCTGTCAATTAATACTAATAATGTATTGGATTTCTTGTTAGTTAAAAATAATTAAGTAAAAAATGTTACAATTCACCCCTACATTTAATAAATTGTATTTTTCACAAATCTTATGTCTCATAGTTATGTTTTAAGCATTACAGCCCCTCGAAATAAATTAAAGATTCGATGCCACAAGAAACATATCAACCAGGAAATATATATTTCTCTCCCAAAAATATGCTGGTCTGTCAAGTTAAGCAGCTTTTTTTTCCTATGTCTAATTTGAAAATGAATGAAAATAACCACTTTTTGATGGATAAAGTATGAAAACACATTTCAGATGAATGCTTTTCAATCCTTTACGCTAATCTGAAGGCAAATCACGTATGAATAAATTATGACAAAGTCAACGAATTCCACACAAAGGTAATGTTGTTTAAATGAGCACTAGGATGCAAATTCTTATTAAGAACTAAATAAAGAAATCTAACTATGATGATAGTTCTTATTTTTATCAAATCGTTTAATCACAGCACATGTAATACTCCCAGAATGTTAGCACTGAGGAAGAATACTATAATTTGGATGCACCCATGATTAATATCTGCATTCCAAAACCGTTCTTAGAATTATTTATGATGTAAGTCCTGATTCATACGATATTTTTATCTCCAATTATTTTCTTCTTCCTAAATATATATGAATGTCTTTTATATGAATATATATGAATGTCTTTTATAATATTAATATTCATCATTCGTTTCTTAATTTTCTGTAGCTCACCTCCGAACAAATAATTAAGGGTGCGTCCACATCCTATAACCTGTTTTTTCCCCTACCTTTTCATCAAAAATAGAAACAAACACAAGCATTTTAAAATGCAATGCGTATTTATTCAACAAAAAATCCTTTTTTACTTTTCTACTTTTTTTTTTAAATCTTGCATTTGGCATGAAAATGAAGGAGATTCCGAAGAAGGAAGAAAAAAGAGGATATTTTTTTGAAAGGGCTCTAACGATGAAGACCTTGGCCCAATCCTCCCTCCAATGCTGTTATTCATAAGGTTTTTCTTATTGAAATCTGACTCACTATCTGTAAATAATGAGACAAGCGGAAGAAGTGATATTACGACGAATTCTGTCATGTTGTATCTGATTGGTTGAACAATGGGGACTGTGAGGAGTGGAAAGATATATAGAGTGATCTAGAATAGGTTTTGTTCATAAATTCTGACATATTTGTTTCGTAAAAAATAAACCTAAACGAATGACTTGCTTAGATTGATATTATAAACCAACAGTTTATTCATAATTCAAACTAGTTTGCGCATTCGTAAAGTTAGAAATTATTTCAACGTTTAACACTGTATGAAATGTAGAGTAATCTTACCTCCGAAACTGCTTTAAAAATATGTTTATATTTAAGCTCCTTTTACCATCCAAAAGGTTTATCTGAAAGAAGAAAATACTGCTTTAGAAAACAATATAACCTCACATTTTTACATTTAGTGAAAAAACCAATATCAACAGAATGGTTTAAAAGTGACAGCCCTGCAAAAGGATTTAAATTATTTTATAAAGTTATTTAAGTCTTACAGTTTTTATACTTACCCTTTAAAATTCATGCTACATAAAATAATGAAAATTTTACAATATTTACAAAATCAAAATTATACTCCAGAAAGACCTATTTAAATATTTTCAAAGTTTATATAATTTGACATAAAGAGAAAACACCTATGTGAAAACTATTATTATTATTGTTGTTATTATTATTTTGAACAATTCGACAGTAAGACAGTGTGCACATCAATAGAATTGTAGCAAAAGTATAAAAAGAGAAAGGTAGATAGCTGCCTATTGTTATATGTTTTCATAAGTAATATATTAATACTAGCCATCTTTGGCAACCACCACACCTTACACACCAATCAAAATTATCTTGCACAACATATCAACTTTAATGGCAACCAAACCAAATGCACAGCACAACTGTATTTAAATATTTTTATTCTTCATTCAGCCCCTGATATAATCGTAACATCAAAATTAGTTTTAAACAATATACTAACCAAATTTTTTGACCGTCTAACATTTGCCCGCACAATATTTTTATTTTATCTATTTTTAAATTTTATATACATGTGCACACAATATATATATATATATTAGAGAGATAGATAGATTACCAAGATGTATTAATTAGATTTAATGTCGAAAATAGTTTTAAATAGTGATGCCCGGTGGTTGAGTGGTAGTGCTTCGTGCTCTCATGCCACAGGTTTAGAGTTCGATCCTCGTGCCCGGCAAGGTTGACTCAGCCTTTCGTCCCTTCAGTGGGTCAATGTAATCGGTACCAAGAATGCTTGGGGAATTAACACTGGGGTCCCGCGTTGGGCCGACCACCCAATCGGAGCATTTGCTCCTGCACCCCAGCGCCCAAGGTCAAGAAAACTGAGATGGGCACAGTAGGCCTTGACCCTCTATGGGCTGTCGCGCTACTGAGTTTAGCTTAGTAGTTATAAGTAATATTACAATAAAGGTGGGTTAATAAAACTTATTAAATAAAGTTAAATTATAAAACTTTCTCAAATAGTAAACACACAGATACCTAAAGTTCATATGCTTAAAATATATAGTAAAAACGAAGACAAACCTCCTGAGTCTCTCTTTTCTTTTTATCAATTTTTTCATTGTTATCTCCAAACTTGGGAGATATATGCCCGTTGATAGTAGGCTGTTGGCAAAACAGAATTTCCATAACCTCAAAATCGAGATCATTCGGGCTTCCAGTGTGATCTTTAGCAACTCTCGACCATAAGTTGTCTTTACCAACAACTTTTGTGGCTGGTATTTTACACCAGTTGAATGACTTCATTTTAGATTTTGGCTTTGGAGTATCTTGCTGTGGCAACGACAAATTTGGTACAAATGTCTTAGTTTGCAATGATATGTTCAGGGGTGGCGGCGGTGGAGGAGGTACAACACCATTTATGAGTGCTGGTGGCGGAGGTGGTGGCGGCGGTACACCACTAGTCATAGGTAGTGGAGGAGGCGGTGGCACATTTAATGAACCAGCAGTTCTATGAGGTGCCGATTCAGATACTAAGCAATTATTATTTTTGCTAGAATCACAACTAATAGAGGTAGACTTAACACTCGGCGCAGGATTTATGAAAAACCCATTGTTTGATAAAGTTGCTGAGTTACTTTGCACACTTAATGACTCATCAACCAGTTTTTGGTTTGGTGATGAGTACGAAGAGACTGGTTTCGGGCTGTTGCGCGAATTATCTGAGTTACTGTTCGCATTTACATTGGATGGCACGCGTTGACTATCAGGGCTTAATTGGCGAGGTGTACTAGAAGAAGGCACTGAGTTTTGCTTCATGGGAACTGTTTTATTGCCAGTTCTAAAGTTATCCGTGAGATTGCACAAGAATAATGGACTAGAGCAAGATTCATATGGTGTGTTAGGAGGATAATGCTGGTTCGGGGACATTAGTATACAAGGAGTCCTATTTCCGTCAGATGAGAAAGATAATTGATGAGGTCTATTCTTTTTAGGTGTGCCATCACATTCTTCCACAGTTTTTTCACTTTGTTTATAATGGCAGGAACAGTGACAACGCATGAGTCCCAGGGTTGACGCTCTGAGTAATCGATCAGCTTCTTGTTTACTTTCCAACAGTGTTGCTCTGTGCACGAGAGTCTCGGCTGTCTCCCACACGACATCCGAAAGAGGTTGACTAAGATCTGTTCTGAGCAAGTGCTGCAAGACGCTGAGGAACGGGATTTCCTGAGGGGTTTCTGCGACCTTTGAGATAAAATTACAAATCAAATTATTTATTGAGAAAAAAGATTAGTTTCAAAATTAATAATGGCTGTTTCATGAATTTATCTAGTTCATAAAGCAGCCATTGGCATCATAGAAAAAAGCTATATTTAATTTATTAAAGAATGCATAGGTTTGGAATTAAATATTTAATGACAAAAATAATTGTGCGTAGCAACAATCGAAAGATTAATAGTATTGTTTCGCATCGTTATTTATAATATAATATTGTAGTTATAACTAATTATAATTATATGTAGTTATACTAATTATAATTATAATTAACTAATTATATTATGTGTAGTTGTAAGTAGTTATTAACTAATTAATATTGTATCTTAGTTATTATCTAATTAATAATGTACATTGTTATAATATTGTATCTGGTATGATATAATATTGTATCTTAATTATTTTCTCAGGATCCAAATTTTTCAAAATCTATCGAATATTCATCTTAGCAATGGATGACAGGAATACAAATTGAGGATTAATACCAGCAGTAATATTTAATTGATCTTTTTAACCCTTTCAGGACCGTGTCTCTCCCTTCTTGACCCATGGTATCACAAATAAAACGACCCTTTCTAACTCTCGGAGATCACATGATCTGATAATAATGATAAACTCATGATATGACGTTATCTCAATATAGTGATCTCAATATGGTAATCTGTTTTTACGACATTAAAAAAGCTTTTAAATGTCTTGGTTTTATTAGATAGTTTAAGGCGAAAACACGCACAGTTTTTTTAATTATCAAACAATTAACCTAATATGACTAGATTTAAAAAGTCACCACTGTGTTTAAATTTTAAAATTATGGTACATTTTATATTGTTACCCAGTAATTAGTTCACTAATTTAAAAAAATAGAGATAAAATTTAAGCATTTTAAGCTATTTTTCACCTGTCGAAGTATAGCAAAGAAAACATCCATGTGAGAACTGAGGTCGACTCCATCAGGGCCAGAAAATTGTCCCTCGTCAGTTGAACGCTGTTCATCAAAGACGTCTAACTGTACTGCCAAATCGGGGTTCGACCCATCTTTGTATTGGTTTCTAAAATTATACACTTTATAAACTAACTAATAAAATAAAATCAATAATCATTCACAATAATGAAATAAGCATGAATTTATGTATCATAAAGTATCAAAACACATATTTGCTTTTGCATTATTTAACAATTTTTTTAGTTATTTTTAAAATATTTAATAGAATAGAATAAAATGATAAATTCTGAGGAAGAAACCGAATAAAATTCTTTTCTGAAGACACTTCTGAGCAGTGGATTCGATTTTTTTTTCTTTTCCTTTTTTAACTCCTTATGGACCGCGATCACATATGAAAATTGATGTGAATTATGCGCATTTTTCCCTTCACAGCCCACAATATCACATATGAAGCGAGTCTTTCTGACTCTAGCGGCCTATGATATCACTCTTGTACTATATCTCGTATTAGTACGTATACATACACGTACGAACTCGGTGCGCGCGGAAGTGCTTCTTTCTCCATTTGATGGTCCTGAAAGGGTTAATTTTTTGTTAAAATAACCGTACTTATCTGCTTAAAAAACAGTCATCCGAGCAATATCTCTCCGTATTTTTCTGGGCCGTGGTGGCTCAGGGGATAAAGCACTCGTCTCCCAACGAGGTAACCAAGGTTCGATTCCAGTAGTGGCTGAGATTCGAATCCCGCTCCCGGCTCGCATCAACCACAGTGATGACGTAAAATATCCTTAGTGGTGGATGGGTAATGGGTTCGAACCCCATTGCCATTAGGATAACCGTGGGAGGTTTTCATCTCCGAGTAACGCAAATGCTGATAAGTTCCATCAAAAAGTCCTCCACGGAGGCAAATTTCTCCCAATACTTGATCTAGCAGTTCCCTCGTCTTCTGGATTAGGTTCAAAATTACAAGGCTACGACGCTGAACATTAGTAGTCGTAAACCCAGAATTGGATCGGCTGTTCAACAACGGTTATTAAAAAATAGTATTTCTCTGCGAAATTAACGGTTTTATACTTTCACATCATCTGACAGGTTTCTCCGTCAATTTTTTTCTTCGTAATAGTTTCTTATAATTCTGCGTTTAAAATTTCTTTAAGTATTTTGATCTCCTTTTTGTACAAGACTCGTATCTTTATTCCATAAGTAACGACTGATCTAATTAAGATATTGCACTCCTGAATCCTATATTTACAGAGGTAGGTAGAAAAACACAAAACTTAAAAGAAAATGGAAATAAATTTTTTATTATTATTATCATATTTGGTATCGTCGTCTTTTATTAGTAGATTCAATTTTTAAGACAAATCATTATATCAATATTTAATTTTACTTTCTTCCTTCTGTAATGCAGTTCAATAACCTATTTAATTTCACTTAAAACACTATTCGATTGCAGTTATTTTCAATTAAATAAAATTGATGGAGATTGGTGGATAAATTTCGTTTTGTTCAACATTCTTTTTCACTATTAGAGAAATAAAATATCCATTAAAATGCAGCTTATAATTATTTATTTTTCATTTAAAAACCAGTAATAATAATATATATTTTACTCGTAGCCTCGTTATGAAAGAGACACACATTTTTTTTAAAAGTTTTGTCACGCTTTTTCGTGATCTTTCTATAGGCTCATTTATTAAAATGGTCAAATAAGAAATAAAATAAAAAGTGCTTTAATGTGATACCCAGATATCGGGAAGCATTGATTGCATTGATTGATGTTACGATTTTATGCCGTGATGTACAATTGCTCGCAAACAATATCATTGATCAAAATTATTTATCGGGCAGGCGCTGCTTCAAGAAAATAGTAAGAAAAAAATATAATTTCGGGGAAAAATATCGTAATTTTAAAACACTACAATAAATTAATTAATAAACTGCTTAATTAATTAATAAACAGCTATGGAGGGGAACTAAAAACCACGAAATTGTTTACTTTAAAAAATAAATTCTTTTGGCGCATATTTTCAAACGTATATCAATATGGAAAATATAAATAAAATAGTTTTAAATTTTTATTTTTACTCTTTAAACGCTTTTGTTTTGCGACTTTATAGATGTGCTGCTTTTTTTCATTTCAAGTTGCAGTTTTCAATTAGCCGAGTGCCTATTTAAAGACTAGGCGACATTACGGTGACATATGCATTTCTAACACAGGAAGCATTAATTATTTTTTTCAGGCTCATGTCTAAGAGACTTAAATCGCAACTTCAATCAGATTTGTGAAGCACTATTAGTTCATTAATTATCATTCACAAAAATATTATAATGCAGAAATAATCGATAAATATAATAAAAGGAATATTTTCTTTAGTAATGTAAAAATAACTTAGCTCAGAAGTGATGAGAATTTTGATTCTTTTGGTGTGCCTTCAGTTAAAATTAACCATTAAAAAATAACTATAAAAATAACTTGAAAAAAAGAAAAAATAAATTTTGTAAACCGTTGTTCAACGCAATACTGATTAACGTTGCATGAATTTAAAAATCATAATAAAAATAAAGAGTAAAGTATATATAATTGTTAAATCGCAATAGGTAATATCGTAATTAAATCGTAATAGGTAGAATAAACAAAATATTTTGTTTTTCAAAATTTAGAGACCTTAAAATTTCATTCGCCACCGTAAAAGAATGAAGAATTATGTTTTATTAAAACTTACAATACTAAAATAATACAAAAAAATTAATTCTAAATTGACAAAACTTTTTTGATTTTCTGATGATTTTGTTTGAGTTTCTTTTCTGAATTGGTTCTAGTATTTCATGTTTTTTTCCCTGTATTTCTATACAAAACCTTCGGGGTATTGAGGGAGTTAATTTAGGCATTTGCCCTCTCTCTCTCAATAGAAAAGGTTTTGTTTTAGGCAGGGTTCGTTGATTTAAATCAGCTCGATTTAAATCACGATTTAAATCATGATTAAAATCAAATGATTTTTTTAAAAAAATCATTGATTTAAATCAACTGATTTTTATATATATATTATATTGATTTTAAAAGTTAAAAAACAGTGCTTTAAATTATTGATACTTTTATTATTTTCTTTTCTTAGTTTTAAAATTTATTTTAAATAAATTGCTGCATTAATTAATTTTAGTTAACGAAATTACTTTCTTTCTTGGAGTGTGTTAAACACATTTAAAATTACATGTTTAAAAATCTTTTGATTCTTAACATTGAAAGTACAGATTAAAGTAAATATTTAATGCTGTCTTAATATAGACTTGCATAGCTGTAGAAAGTAAATAAACATGCTTTTTTTTCAAAAAGCAAATGTTAATTAAAATTCTACCTTTTGATTAAAAAAGCATGAAATTCAAATCTACATTATAGTTTATTGATGGAAATTTCTATATTTCTAAAGCTTGAGGTTATATTAAAAAGAAATTACCTTAATATGCCAAAAATAGAAAGAAAAAAAAAAGCTGAGTTCAGATATTTTTTTCCTGATATAGTGTCATTCTTCCCTATCAAAGTCTATTTGAAGCAGTAGGGTTATTAACTGGTTTTTATTTTTCTTCTCATAATATGTTTACGGTATCTTTGAAATTATCAGATTTTCTTTTGTGAAAAAAAATTCCAATGAGTACATAGATTTTTTTAAAAATGTTTTTTAGCTTAACTTATGTATTTTGATAAAGGATTAAAAATGAATATTTTAACATAAAAATATATAGATTGAATATTTATTTTTTGATGAATAACAACATTTATAAACACAATCTGTTGCATTTATTTTGCCATTTTATAAATCATGAGAAAAAAAAGAGATCACAATTTTAAATTAAAATTATGCTGTGCTAATTGAAACTTTGTGTTATTAGTTAAAGTAGTATTCTTTAAATTATCTATTTTATCTTGTCTTTTAATTTCAATCATGCCTTTGTATCAAAATGGTCGCTATGCATTATAATGAAAAATTATTTTAGTAAGTTAGAGCTTCTAAAATATTGTTATAATATAGTTTTAATATTAATTTAATTTTGATTAAACATTTATAAAGTTTTTTTGATCATAAATTAAAGCTCTTATAGTGTATTTAAATAAAAATCAAAAAAATCTGATTTAAATCAAAAAAATCCGATTTAAATCAAAATAATCCGATTTTTTTGATTTTTTTAAAAAAAATCAAAAAAATCACGAACCCTGGTTTTAGGGCTACCGGGGCCGGTACCCCCTGAAGACGTCGGCTTTGGTGGTCATATTTTTATTTCCTTCGTTTCCTTTATTGCTACATTTATTATAAATTATTTGCAAAAATTTTCGAGATCTTTAAACTCTACAGGAATATATGATCCACTATTCCTTCATCTACATCTTTTCTGTTTTAATGAAGCAAAAAATAATTTGATTATCTAAATACTTGTTAAGGAAAAAAACAAAATCATATAGCATATAAACTCACCTAAACTTGTTTAAGACTTCCAATATTTTTAAACCTAAAATAGAATAAAAAATAAATAAATTATAAATTTTTTATTAAAAATTATTTTAAGTAGTTTGTTTGTCATAAACTGATTTTTAAAAAATGCTGCATTTTATTAATTAATTTATAAAAAAGCATTACAAAAATTTAAAAGTACTTCCGAGAATTTTACATTATAATTTACATTATAATTACCGATAATTTCACATTCCGATTATTTTACTCGGGGATTATACGGTAAAATATTCTGGTAAAATTACCGGATTGTATGATAATAACATTTCTGGTAACAAAAAAATTTGGGTTAATAAAACCATAAATTCTGGTTAATGATCCATTCATTTGGTAATATATACGTTCATAATATGGTAATAGCTTACCAAAAATTCTGGTTTTCAAAATTATAGTTCTTATTACCACATACTTAGTAACAAATACAAAACTTAAAAGAAAATTTTAACCAAATAAATAGTTTTTATGCCGTGCTATAAGATATCATGGTAAAATTATCAAATTTTGACTTATATTGTAAAACAATATTTTGATAATTTTACCAAAATCATTACCAAAACGCTTTGGTAAAAATTACCGTACTTTTCGGCATTCTCATAAAGCTATAAAGACGGTAAATTTTACCACATTCAAGTAGTTTTGACCATATTTTTTTTCTCAGTGTATCATCATTGATAATAATTATATATTTTACTCTTCGAATTAATAAGGCCTTTCAATGCAGCTTGAAAATACACTTAAAGAAATAGCGACTTGCGATCCTGCAATAAGCACAAAATACGATAAAAACATAAATATATCATTTTGAATTTCGTTTTAATAACAATAAAAATTTACATAAGTTTTAAAAGAAAATGAAATTAAAAGAATATTTTTTACAAAGTTGAACATTTGCACACACTTATCATTGAAACTTACGTAATTAAACTATGTTAAAACGCAAGTAATATTTTGAAGTTCGTTTTCATTACGACCGAAAATTAGAAATACATAAAAAAAAATTATATTAAGTTAATATTATTTTTAAAATTTTAACACTCGTATCAACATTCATAAAAACTTACATAATTGATATAAAGCTGATATAATTTTCGTGCAACATATAACTGCATTCAATTTATTGCCTTGCATTACGGATGATAATAAGTTTTAAAGGGCTTTGGCTAAAAATGTCAAGTTGATTCAGTCTTAAATGATATTTTTTCTAATAAGTTCTTAAAGTACAAAGTAAGAGAAATGAATTAGAAAAGAAATATTTGATTTACGATTCTATGTATACTTTGACAACGTTAATATTGAATATTATTTATAGTATATTTCATTGAATAAATAAATATTCATTTTCTATTAATCCATGCCTTGATAATTATTTAATAAAATAAAAACAGACTTTAAATAAAAAAACGATCAGCATTCATTTATCACTAGTATTTTCCTTATGATTTGAAATTATATTTACCTATATGTTTATAATTTATTGGATGTCAGAATGTATGTAAAAACAAAAGAAAAATAACTTTTTGAGAAGTTATTAAATATACTTAATCAATCTTATGAAAATGTTGGAAAAATAAATGGAATTATTCATGTTGTGCTTTAAAATTCTGTAAGATACATTTTTTTTTCATTTAAAGCATCTAATTATATGCAATATAGTGTTTTTATTTTTTTTATCATTTTTTTATTATTTTACTAATTTATATTTTTCTAAGAAGTATACTAATAAAATTTCACATATTTGAATTATAATTAGGCATTTCGCTATGTTCTCAATTTTATTTTAATTAAAGCATTTTTTTTAATTATAAATGAATGACAAAGAATAGCACATTTATTTTAAGAAAATATTTCTAAGATAAAATCTATATTTGAAATCAGATACTCGTTTCACATGCTTCTTTTTTTGGAATCGAGACAAGTAATTTCATTTAAGTTAAGGTGAACAGATTGTTCTAAGATTCGACCGACAAATTCGCAGGGTAAATAAAATGAAAATTTACCATAGAATATGAGGAGGTATAGTTTGTCTAAAGTAAGAACTCCCCTAGCGATTCATCTGGACCCTTGGCGGTGACTATTGTAGCGAGGTATAACTATTTCAAGATTATAAGCGGCGACTATGGTAGTGAGGTATAACTATTTCAAGTTTATTGTAGGGTATTCAGGACAAGTTTCGGCTCGGTCTGGTAGGCGAGAGAAAGGTAATCTTTTTCTTGTTAGCCCTAGAGTAAAGAGAAACTACCCTACCTAAAATGCGTCATTCCTGTCTCCATAGCATCAGACGGCCTCAGATTTTGTGGCTGAGGGAGTTCTTACCTTAGACAAACTACACTGAAGAGCCATTACATTATGACCACCCTCTATCTATAACAATGGGCTCGCCAAGGTTTTCATGGTTTCTCGCCCAGTAACAATGTTTTCACGGAGAACATTAGGACCCATGATCCGCATAGAACAATCCCTGACGTCTGTAAGTTACTTGAACGTAGTTGCAGACCAGGTTCACCCATTCATGGCAACAGTTTTTCCTGCGCGTGTTTACCAACAGAATAATGCACCATGTCATAAGGGTCGAATCGTCGCGGATTGGTTCGAGGAACATTCCAGTGATTTTCAAGTCATGTCTTGGCCCCCAAATTCACCTGACCTTAACCCAATAGAGTATTAGTGGTCCTACTTGGCAAACCAAATTCGTGCTAACCCTCGCAATGTGAGGGAATTGAAGGACCATTTGGTAAACGCTTGGTACCAGATACCTCAGACTACCTATCAGCACCTTGTGGAATCAATGCCACGGCGGGTGCTAGCAGTTTTGAGGGCTAAAGGTGGTCCTACATGTTATTAGCAGGGTGGTCATAATGTAATGGCTCTTCGGTGTATAAGCCACATTAAGAGGATGAAAATAGCACAGAATAAGTTTAGTATCTAAGAGACGAAAGGTGGAGGTCAGTTGAGCTGAGGGCGGATTTGTTATCGTTTTCTACCAACATCGAAGCTCACCTAGCATTTTTGCCTATCATAGTCGGGTAATCGTTTTTATATTGTTGTGGATAGTGCGATGACGTCAAAGGCTAGTTTCGAACATTTCCTGTACTAATTAATCAATTAAATCTTTCTATGGTAAGCATGCTTGCTACATATTATGTAGTTATTTTCCATGGAGGGGTCGAAATCTTCATGAGTTATTCACAATTTTTACCCTCTCAAAGTAGTTTTTGATTCCATGTTCTATAGTAAGTTTTGATCCTTTTGATACCTTCATCACCCCCCGGAATTTATTGGTCAAATTTTGAAACATCCAGTATGATGTTTCAGAACTAAAGTACAGAAAATAAGGCATTTTCAGTCATTTTAAAAATGCAGTTATGAAATGACATAAATTTTTTGACATGAATAATATTTGTTTAGATACTCCAATGACAGTTGAAACTTTTTTTACTGGCGTTGTGATTTTAGGGTGGATAACCATAAATGAATGTAAACTTAATTCAGAACATAAAAACTGAACCAGTTCTTTATATCATACAAAATATTTAAAGGTACAAAGAACATGCGATAGTGCCCAATAAAAGTTTATTAATAACTTAAATGAATATGGCGTATTAAATTAAAATTAGGTAACTAGCATAGTTTTAAAAAAAGAACTTAAACTCGGTCAATTCATGATAAAACTTTGAAAGTGTGTTTGAATCGTAGTATTCTATATTACCAAGAAAGGAACCCAAAGTGTCATTTACAAACGGAATTGTAAAGAATTATTCGAACGTAATTGTAAATTGTAAAGAATAGAAATTTCGATTTATGTTTCGCTTAATGTAGTTTTGGATTTCATTAAAAAAGTATGGTTGGTTTTAGCTTTTTAAAATGCAAAAAACAAAGTTTTCAACTTAAGAGAAGAAAAAAAAAGTCTTAAATTAGAGCAAACTTTTGCAGCCAACAGTGCTCTTCGTCTGTGGGAAAAATTCAACCTTTGTAATTTAATTAAAATAATTATAGTGATTTTTAGCAATTCAACATTTAATGATTGCTTCAAATCCACCAAAATAAATTTAATGTTAATTGCCACTTCCGGTGAACAGCTGGTCAGCCTTTTTAAATAAGAAGAATTTCAAGTATCTCAAGATTTAAAATCGCAGAGTCAAATATCAAAACAATTTTTAGCATAAACTCATATTGCACGAGTGAGACTGGCCTTAATTTTAACCTCGTATAAATTCGCGTTTTCAGACATTGGGTATCATAAAAGTGTGAAAAAAATATGATTTGGTTTCCTCTACATTAGAATAAATTTCTTTCAGACTTGTTTTCTGATTTTTAAAATTTTATGTAAAAAATTGAATTATCTGCTCATGGTCTAGATGCAGGTTGGCACCCTTGTCATTTTTGGATAAATAACAATTCAACCTCAAAATCAAACAACGCCTATTCCTATAAAATAAATAATTTAAAAAAACTGAAACGGTCAGATATAACTTGATTAAAAATTTCATTCCCTTCAAAAATATACAAATTCAAAATAACAGTCAACGGTTTTTAAAGCGCTCAAAACAACGCCTATTTCATTTTTGAAAACAAATTACATCTTCAGAACGGTGCAATGACTCTCACCTCTGAAATTAAATTCTCAGAATCTGCTATTTTCACGGCCTCCCAGATAGATTTTTTTGTTAAATAATTGTATAAATAAAAACAATGAAAAAAAAACAATGTGAGTAGTGAGAATGAAGGACGTAAGGGTGGTTTTTGAAGGGAGAAGAACAATGTTTATCTTTTGGATTTAAAGGGGAAAAAAAGGAATTCTTTGTGTAGAATAAAGGAAGGAGTGGACACCCACCTAGAAATTCATTCCTGATGCGTATCCTGTCGTTGAGGGAGGCAGGGGATATGATGAGACAATTGACGAAGGCCACGAGGGCTGTCGTATATTCTGCAACTTCAGAAGATTTCAGTTCTTCCACCACAAACTGGAACCGATATCGGCGCTTCTTCACACTCTGCAAAGAAATTTCAATGAAACCTTTCATTAAATTGCCACAAATACTTCCTTTAAGCAAATGTGAGAGCAGTTCTTTCTCTTTGCCGGCATATAGAGTCTTTAACTTTTAAGCAAGCGCAAGTGCTGATTTACTTAATCAAGCAATAGATGTCTTATCGTAAATAAAGACACTGCTTTCTTTTCCCAGAAGATTTTTTTTAAATGCACATGCGCTTTTCAAATGAACTACTTAAATACTCATATCTTGCACAGTTTTTAACAAATTTTCTTTAAATTTTAAAGCAATAATTTTGCAATTAATTTTAAATTGCTCCAAAAATTTTGTTAAATTATATTAAATATTCTTAAAGTTATATCAAATAAAAAAAAATTTATTATTTTTTTTATAGAAATGTCCATATTTCCTTAAATATTTAAGCTAGGTTTACAAAATTTTATAGAATTATTTTAAATAACAACCAAAGTAATTGATTCACGTTACAAGCTCATTGCATAATTTTCTGACATAGGGTATTAAAAAATACTTGTTTTCTTTGATAATTTATTGTCGGTCTCTCAAATCTTATTGCTAAGTAAGAAAAACACCTCTAAAGTTAAAAAATAGCTTGCTAAGTATTTCTAGAAAATTTTATTAAAAACAATGTAAATTGCTCAGTAAATTGCTGCTGAACAAGAAAGTTTACTAGAACACTGTAAAAAAAGATCAAAAATGTGTCCAATATGAGCCGAATTTGAAAGAAATACTGATTGAAAATGCTAGTTCTCCCTGAACTTGGGTGTACAATTATTGTGGTTAGAGCATCTTATTACGAACTGGAAGTTCCTTCTATCGGAAGTTAACGATGACAACTCTTTCACACATTTCTCTCTTTTAATCACTTTTGAGAGTTGAGACTATGCATTTCGCTCAAAAATGCATAGCCGCAAAAGTGATTTGAGTCATAGCGCTCAAAAGTCATATGCTTTATACATTTTCTCTATTTAAATTTTGATCAATATTTGATTCAAATTCGACGAATATTTGTTTCAGAGATAATTTGACACATTTTTGCTCAATTTTTAGAAATTCTTTATTACAGTACACTTAATTGAAAATATCAGTTTTATTTTGCATTAACGATTATTATTTGAAATCATGCTTTTTCTTTTAAATACTTTACAATTTATTTTAATTTAATCATTTTTAAACGAAAACAATTAAACTATTTCAAAATAGCTATTTGTTTTTCATTGAATGATAATTAGCTAAATCAGTAGCAGTTTTAAATCTTAAGAATGCATGTTTTTTTAAAATTTCTCATATTAGAATATTTGTGGAATAAACATTTTCCGCAATTTAATCTTGAGTAATAAAAAAGGAATTGGAAAAAAAAATTTAAAAAATTTTTGATAAAACAAACTTAAGTTTTTTTTAAAAATATTTTTATTGCATTCGTTGAGTTTATAAGTCTAAAATAAGTCCTCATAAATTTTTAATATTTGAATATGAAATTATGTATTCCAGAATATTCTTTAGGTTATAAGAAAATATTTATTAAAATTTGATAAAATGAACTTGAAGTACTAAGTTCTTTTTAAAAAAAATCCTTTATCGTTTGCACTGCAATGTAGAAGTACAAACGATAACGATTAAGTATTATTTTATAAAACGATTAAGTATTATTTTTAAAACGATTAAGTATTATTTTATAAAACGATTAAGTATTATGAGTAGTAAGGGCCGCGATATAGGGGACGGAAGTGACGTCATCATAGAAAGTCAACGGGAGCTTATTTCTACCCCAACCGGAAGTTGCTTATTTCTGCCCGCCTACAACCGGATGTTGCTTATTTCTGCCCGTATACTTATTTCTGCCCGCCTGNCGTCACTTCCGTCCCCTATATCGCGGCCCTTACTACTATTATGTCATTAAAAAATTATTTATGTAATTATTTGAATAGAATAAAAATATTATTTTATTCTATTTAACAGAATAAGAATAACGTTTCAAAAAATCCTATAAAGTATCTGGCAGTTTTCTGAAAAATGTCGAGCGGCTGTTAGAGATATAAGTTTCATTTAAAACTATGTGGCAAAAACATTTCTATCCTGCAATTCTTTCGGATGTCTATAGTCTGGTAAAATTAAAAGAAAAAGTGTCTTGACTTTTTTTCCTGAGCAGAAAAAAAGCATTCCTTTCCAGCATTTCTATCATTCATTTCTTTCAAAGAACATTCTTCTTTTTTAACTAGCTTCTATTGCGACAAATAAAACAAAGATATTTCTCTGTAAAAAATTTAAGTGAATTAAATTCAATTTGTCACTGCTATTTTGACCCTATTTATTTCTCGTTGTTGCTTAATTCCCAGTGTTTTTATTGTGTGATAAAATGAAAGAAATTACTTATTTTGTCGTGTTGACATTTTCACTTATTGTGTAATTTTTTATTAAGAAGGCAAAGAAATGATCCTATTATTTATTCTTTAACATGTTTCGAATTAATTGTACTGACTTACACATGTTTTCAGTTAAGTAAAAACATAAATTACTTTCCTTTTAAACTAACAAGAATGACAAATCTTAAAAGTATTTCTGCTTTATTTGCCTAAATTGATTAAAATCCTCATTTAAAATAATAAATTATGCATGTATAGAACAAAATTTGTATTACATGCGTGAAATTTGTATCACTTATAAGTTAAGATGCTTTTACTTTACATGTTAATATTCTTAAGAAACTGCTAATTCGTATCACATACATATATAAATTAGGATGCTTTTACTTTACAAGTTAAATTTTTTTTAAAGACTGCTAAAACTTTTAGATGTTGAATTTGAAGAAAATTGTGTCGCTTAGATACATAAACAAATAGTTTAATATTATAACGATTTTATTAATGAGTTTAGTAATTTAATAAACCCAGCACAAAACGCTGAAACTGAACTGTCGGAAAAATTAAATAAAATGACGTCACTTCTAGGGAAAAAACTAGAAATTCAGAAATCACGATATATTTAATTTACATTTTTTCCATTATCTATTTCCTATTATAGTTTTTGTTTATTTCTTTTTATTATAACCTGATTTTTAAAATCAACCAAAAATGGTGATTATCAACCTAAAAGAAAAATCACCTTTTAAGAGCGAGATTAAGTTTTTTTTTCTCTCAGTAGCTAAATAAAGTTCAAGATCAAAAATTTTTTATATATTTATTTAAAATTGTTAACTTCATATGTTCGAGACCTAAAATTGTTATCTTTATATGTTTATTTTTCTGTATTATTAGTATTAGTATTAAAATTATTGTTCTTTAATTATTTTTATTATTATTATTATATTTATTATTATATTTATTTAATAAATATTATATTAATATAATAATAAATATTATAATTATTCAAAAAAACATTTCAATTTTTTCCCCTCTTTTTCAGTTATAATATTGAAAGATGTCAAACATGCATTTTAATTTTAGATAAAGTAAAACAATTAAAGAAANTATAATTATTATTATATTATTATATTTATTATTATTATTATATTTATTATTATTATATTATTATTATTACGTTTATTATTTTTATATTTATTATTATCATATTTATTATATTTATTATTATTTAACTATTATTATTAACATAGTTTTTATAGTATAATTATTATTGGAATCTTGTTGATACATGTTTAATCGTTAAATGTTAATTTTTAAAAAATTATATCAAGAAGGTACATATAGACAAATAATTTAATATTCTAACAATTTTATTAAAGAGTTTAATAAATCCAGCACAAAACGTAGAAATTTGAACAGTCAGAAAATCAGTCAAAAAATTAAATTCGATGACTTCAGAAGAAAATACTAGAAAAATATAAATTATGAAATGTATTGCGATTTAAAAGTTTTTCGATCATCTACTTTTGGTTAAATATATTCACATCTAATGATTTCATTTTTAAATTGAGATGTTTTTTCATCTTAATAGAAAAATTCTCTTTTTAGAAGAGCAACTAAGTTTTTTCTTCTTCTCTCGATTACAAAACTAAGTTCAAAATCAGAAAGTTTGACATAAAAGTTACATAAGATGTCAAAAAAAAGTCTCAGCGTGAAGCTTTTTGAAGTCATTACACTTATAGGGAAGCAAAAAAAGACGCGTTGCAAAAAATGGTTTGGTAAGCGATCTATATTTCCTCCATTTACTTACAATGTAATAGAAATTTCCTTGTTAGGGAGGGTAAAGTTCAACCACCAACATTGTTATTAATGGAGCATTTTTTACTTAATTGAACTGTTATTGCAGATTAGTTTGATTTTGTCTGACCCCGCACGCTCTTCAGATGAGTACAATGCATTCAGTTAAAGTTCAAGTCTCAATCAGATGGATGACTTTATGAAAAGTAGTTTTTAAGTCATAATTGTTATGCAAGACACTATGCGCGTTGGAGGGAATGACTTTAAACGATAACTGTGTTTTTGAACTTAAGTTAATTGAAAAGTAAAAGCCTTTGCAATATAAGAAAAAGTCATAAATGCCTAAGAAGCTTAACCTAACATCGTGATAAGCTTAACCTAACATACATAATATTATTATCCTAATATAACGGATTTCACTGTCGGAGCTAGATCAACGGTTTCCAATCCGTAAATGATCAATCTTCTTTCGACGGAACCCCGAATAAGCTTGTATAAGGTTTAATGCCTGACAGTTGAATTCCCACTCCTGGAGCTGGATATAGTCTAGTTATAAATTTTATTTTAATGTATAAACATTAACCGAAAATGAATTAAATAGACCGAATTATGGTTTTCGTTGAAATGAAAAATAAAAAGAACTGTTATAAAAGTTGAAAACGGCTATTAGGGAAACATAGTTTATTAAGAAATTTTATTATTATTTTTTTTACTTTTTTATATATTTTTTTTAAAAAAAAACTTTGGTTTGAAAAGCGCGATGGGAAATACTAATGCAATATTATTGAAAAATGCGTGCCCTTTTCATAGTTAATTCAATATTTGGTT